AAAATTTGGTATGTAAACTATATAAAGCTCTATATAGATCAGAACAAGTACCGTACACATAGTACAAAAGAATAGATTCATATTTAAAGAGTATAAATTTTCAATAGAGAATAGATGACCATATTTTGTACTTAAGAACCATAGGTGGTATAGTTATCTTTATTGAATTCTATATAGATGATCTCCTAATGATAAGAAACTCCACAATCAATATAGATAGTTTCAAAAAAGAAATTTATGATAAATTCAAAATGTCTAGGCTCTTGAAAAGAATTGTCATTCTATTTTTAAAATAATATTGCATACAAGTTCAAGAAAAAATCTTTATGATCTAAAGATCCTATGCTCAAAGCATCTTAAAAACTTTTGATTTATAGTACTTTATACTAGCATCAATGTTTATAGAAGAAAAAATCAAATTAAAATTAGATATGAAAGAAGAGGTAGTTGACTCAATAAATTACAAAAGCATCATAGGAAAATATTTGCACCGCACTTATACACAACTTGAGATGCAATTTTCAATTAGAAAAGTTATCAAGTTTGTGGCACAACTACAAAAATAATATCTACTTGTAGCTAAAAGAATATTGAGGTATACAAAAAGTACACAAGGTTTTGGCATCTTATATTGTAACGACTATAAACCTAAATTTTTGAGATATGTAGACTTAGATTGGATAAGTGACATAGATCAGATTTTTTCTATAATAGGGCTTGTATTTATTATTAGAACATCACTAATCTTATGGCTCTCAAAAAAATATCCCACTATGACATTATCAACATCAAAAACAAAATATAAAGCTCTAGAAAATGCATCAAGAGAAGCCTTGTGGCTTATTATGTTTCTTCAAGATTTATACCTTAATATCAAATAAGATGTTAGTATGTACTAAAACAATATTGGAAGCATCCAAATAGCAATAAATCTATGTGTGAATCCATGCAATAGACACATTGTAGTTCATTACTATTTTACAAGTTAAAAGATCAAATTTGGAGATATTGACCTTAAATATTTCCCAACTCTAAAATAAATAGTAGATATATTTACTAAGCCACTAAAGCATATATTATTTTAAAAAATTATAAAAAAAAATTAATGTTGTGAATACACAAAGTATTACAAATAAACCACAAACTTATACATGATTAGTTAGTCTACTTTCTAGCAAAAAAAGTTTTAACTTCTTCTTTAATTCTAAATGCTTTGGATTCTAATTCTTCAAAATCTTTTACTTCTTTTTCACACACTCTTTAAATGAAATAGACTCCAAGATGAAATTCATATTTTATAATATAGAATTTATTAGATTGATACAAATCTACTTTATAGGATAGAATAGGAAAAGATTGCTTATGCAAAACAAAACTAACCATCACATCATGATGACTAGGAACTATTGAAGAAAAAAGATGATTGATAGAAAGAATATATACCACCAAAGTGGGAGTTTGCACTTGCATTAATGCTTGAAACATAAAATACTATAAATAGTTTATAAGTCAACTAAAGATATTGAAAAAAAAAATCAAAATAACTGAGATTGCTAACAAAAAAGATTAAAATTGCACATAGAAATATCATAAGTATCAAACAACAAAAATAACTATAAGATATTTTTATTTTTTAAAAAAAAACCTTCACTAAAGCAAAATTGTACCAGAGAACCATTGCAAAGTTGTTGGAAGTCATCCATTGCTCCAAGATCACACAAGACCAAGGCTCCAATAAATACAAGAGTGGTAGTATTCTTTGAGTTAAATTTTGGTCATAATAAAGACGAGTACTTTAAAAGCTCTAAATTCTAGATGGATGGTGTTCTAGATGTAATTTTAAAAGATGATGTTTAAAAAATATGTACTAAGATAGAAAAATATAAATTTTACACAAATACAAAAGTATTTTTGAAATATGTTATATCAATGAATGTTTACAAGTATATTTTTAAAAATTATAAAAAAATATAGATTTAAAATTATAAAAATTATAGATAAATTTTAATGTACTTTGGATATAATAAATTATTATTAATTATTTACATAGATTTTTTAAATTATTTTATTTATATAATTAAATTTTATATAAATTAAAAGTATAATTAAGACAAATAAATAAAATCCAATGTTTATTTTTAATTTTATTTCATCTCTTATTTTATAATATAGAGACGGAAAAATTCACCTCTCAACTTATATTATAAGATTTTTTTCAATTAAAAGTAGCTTATAATTGATAATGTAAAGTGAGAGATGCAATTAACAAAAAACAAGGAAGAAGAAGTACAAAATAAGTAAAAAAAAATGCAATCAAATAATTATACATGCCAAAAATCATTTACAATTTATTTATTAGATATTGACCTAATTAAAAGTAAAAAAAGTATATTTTTATATTGATAAATTTTTATTCTTTAAATGATATTAAAAACTTACAAATCCAAATTATTATAAATAAATTATGAAGATTTAAAGATAAAAAGAAAAAATAAATAAAATAAAATAAAATATATTTTATTTCAAATAAAATTTATTTAAGAGATTAAGGATTTAAGTCTTACCAAGGCTCACAAGTTATGTATATGGGTCTTTTAGGGAGGCCACAAGGCCTTTGTCTTATCTTTCTACCTACATCCAAGGTGCTAGAATTTACATTTAACATATGTACCTCCATTTCTACAACTACTATACTAACTACTAATCATTTTGTTTTCTACCAGTAAAACCATTTTTTTTGCATTTTCAACTTCATTAAAGTGCTTAAAATCTCACAAGGCCTTCAAATCTTACTCAATTTGTTTTTAATTGATTGTGAAAGTGATAAAATTACTTTTACCAAAGTCTTGAATATATGCTCTATAATGATATTTATAAGTTTTAAATGAGTAATACATGTAGATAGAATATCAATGTAGATATTAGTCTCAATAACTAAATACTAATTCTTACTATTAAGAAAAATATTAAACCAATGTAAATAATTATTGCTAAGATTTATTAAGACTCTATTTTTATAATTCTTTCTCTAATAAGTTTCTAGTTTTATAACTCATAAAATCTTCTAAATTCTAAAAAATACTTAAATAATTGAAAAAACTCTCTAGTCTTAATATTTTTGCATTTGAAAATTGAAAATTTTATTTTTATTAATTCCACCATCATGCATTAGTAGAGCTTATATATATCAACCATCTAAAATCCAAAAAAAAAAAAAAATTATGATTATAAAATATTTAAATTCCTTAAATTGATAATTCAAAATTAAATATAATATTTAATATAATTTTTAAGATTATATAATATATTTTTGTATTAAAATCAAAATTAAATAAAAAGTAATTTAAGATGTGGAATTATCCTACTTGACATCAATTTCTAATTTACTATCTCTATATATATATATATATCTAAAATCTAATTAAAAGATCAAAACTTATTAGTTGTTGCACAAATTACATCATATTCCTAAATATAGAATAATATTTTATCAAAAATTAATTTAAGTTGTTTAATGCTAGATCTTATTTCTTCAAAAATAACAAAAATGTTAATAAAGTTGGTTTACTAAGAAAAAGTGTAAAATTAATTTAAAATATTGAAATTTAATAACTTTATAGTTTAAAGTGTTCTTGGTATTTTAGTGTCTTAGAAAAAAAAATAAGTCTAAATGCTGATTTTGATAGTGAACTAACATAGTGTAATGTAAATATTAATTATTTATTTTTAATATGTATATATAATAAAATTCTTTTACATATTTTTTATAAATAAAAGATTGATAGATGTCTAAGATATTATATAAGCAAAGAAAAGAAAAGAAATAAAAAAAACAAACAAATAATAGCAACAACAACTACAAAAGAAGAATTAAAAATTAATATAAATATAAAAGAATAAAAAAATATATCTAAAACACATATATTTATATAGTAGGAGGATTTTAGAATGATTATTTTTTTACTGCAAAAAAGCTAGAGAATCTTGAATTAAAAATACTAAAAAAATAACTAAAAAAATAAACATTTATGAGATTAAGAATAGTGTCAATCTTACTTCTATATACACCAGTTAGCAAGAAGCCAAGTATCCAAGTTTTAGAGTATACTCATAAAAATTTCTTAAAAACAAGAAACTTCTTAGAAAAATTATTGAAGCAAAATGGTACACCTGCAATTTCAACCCATGCTTGTGAAGATTCATTAATGTGTTTTAAGTAAGAAGAGATCAATATAAATTATTTCCACCTACTTTTGATTATTTTTACTTATTTCAATAATATAGATATTTTTTTCCATGAATCTCTGAAAGCAAATTCAAGTCATTTGCAACAATTATTTTTTAAATTTATTTATATATTCTTCATAAATCTATACTTATAATTCTAAACATAATTTTCAATTTTTTCAATTTATAAGTTTACTGCACTTTATATTTAAAATAAATAAATAAATTTCTATGTGATAATAATTACAATAACAATAACAACTTTGTAAAAAAAAATTATGTAAAAAAATTATATTTCACAGTATTTAAATCAATCATTCTAAAGTCTCCACATAGCATCTGCAAGAATCAGCATCGATTATCATAACAGTTATCACGGAATTATTGTTCTGTCAATCTCATCATTAATAGTCACTTCAACAAACTTCCCAGCTTAACATAAAAACGGAGTTTCATTTCTAGAACCGCATTTGGAAACCTGCACATCCAGAGCTTAGAATCGGTGACGTTGTGACTCCATGCATACTGTACGACAGCAATATGAGAGTAAACAATTCTATGTACATCATTGAATACCAGAGTCTTAAATTACAAAGCAATGAAGCAAATAGCTCAAGCTTGACAAACATACATACTAGGCAAGTCATTTAGCTCGGACACTAAAAGGTATATGAGGATGTAAGAAATCAAGTTGCTCAGGACAAGAACCATTTGGATCACATGAACCCCTTATTATAAACGCGGTCTTGAAACAAGACATACCCACGATATTGTAAGACGTCCAAGGAAATGAATTTGTCGATAACTCAAATACTTGTATTGTTCCAACATTTACACCATAGAAACGAAATTATGAAGGTGCCAAAACGTCTGGTGGTTGGCAATGAAAAAGGGGTTCAACTGTACTTTCGTCTGACGATGCAATCAACCAAACCAAAAGCCTATCAACAAATACTACACCAGTGAAGAGCACAACAGTTGTGAACATATTCTCTTCTCCATGTTGCAGACAGTCACTTCAGCTATGACTAAGCAAAATTAGGTGTCATCGATAGCACCCAAAAGTTGGTACTGATTTCCTTGAGTAGTGCCTCTAGCAAAGTTTATGGTGTCGCTCCAAACCAAAAAAAAAAAAAAAAAAAAAAAAAAAAAAAAACTTTGCCTCCACGTTTTACTCTACAAGGCTCGAATGCAATGCATCCACCAAATCTCAATTTTCGGATTTTCTCATTTTTACTTTTTCGGTCTCAGATCGACGACAGAGCTGAAACTACCGCTAGACTGGCCTGTTCAAAATGCCAGCAAAGAACGCGCAACTCGAATTAGCAAAAGCTGGCTCTTTATCTCTGGCGAATTGTTCGGGAGATTGCATCAGTCACTGTTCTCGATGAGTCATTACTTGACCAAGGTGATGAAAGGACATACATACAGAGTGATGTTACAACCCACTGTTGCAACTTACAACTCAGAGACTGGTCGGAGACGTGCGGGAAGTGAAATAATTGAAGTCCGGATGATCCACGCACAAATCCTTGAGATGCTCATCTGCAACATGTTGTAAAGTTGTAGCTAGGCGCTTTTCTGGATTGGAAGACCAAACGGCGCCTCTGAGCTTGTAAGAAGCAAGCCCAAATGCTCGAAGTGGCTTAGCGTCCAGAGGACACCTCGATGGTGTTATGCACTCATCGCCGCGACTACCTTGCCTCAAAGAACCCTCTGCTATTCGAAAAATACAAAAGCACCACACAATTAGAACACGAGAACAAAAAAATTGACTTACCAGAACTTGAAATGAACACAAATTTTCAATACAAGATATGAGACAAGAACGGCACTAATTCAAATAATTAACACGAGAAAAAATGTGACCTCCGCAGATGTATGCCATTACCTCCAACTTTCAATGATGTTGATAGAGGATGGAATGTGAGGAAGCAAGCAGAGAGATCTCGTAGAGTGGGTCCTGTAGGTATCCGGTAGATAGGATACCAAGCTACTGAAAGCCAGCTTTTCGGCAGTAGGTCTAAACTTCGCAGTGTGCGCAGAGGATTGTTCTCAGGCTTGGAAAAGCCTCTTGACAGGTCAGCGATCTGTTACTCACCAAACCCACAGAAATCCCCTCTACGTAAATATGTTTTCCACTGTAAGTGACGGTTCACCATCAGTCCTGATGTAAGAAAATACACGAAACAAATAAAAGCACAAATACAAATTTCAAACTCCGGAGACTATTGCAGCTATTGTTCCGGATTATCATCATGAGTAAATAAACGATGTGAAGTTTCGGGATTTGAAAATAGGGGAAGAATTTCAGCAGCTCACCTTATTCACGAGTGGCACTCGACTATAAGGCTGACTCTTCTCAAAGAAAGACCACACCATTACTTCATCATTATCACTGATATATGTTGAAGCTACTAGTCTAGAGCTGTTTCCTAAGTTGAGTGACGAGCTCTCGGCAACGTCGTAACTATGGGAAGATTTTTCCCCTTCTCCATCACTGCTGGCTTCGCTACAAGTATCACTTTCTGACCCTGGATGCCTGCACCACTAAGAAATACAACCACATTAACCACTTCCGTATTCACAGGTATCTAATATGACTTCTAAATTTAAACATCAACTCGAGAGTAGTTTATAAAACATGGAGTTACATGCATAACATCATGTACGACTTCTACTTCAGCTGTAGACAACCATTAGCACGAATAGAGCTTCCAATAGAACACGTTCAACGATTTCAACCCACGAACCCACATCTTTCCAGCCACCTAGAATTCGCATGTACATGCGAACATCTTTGCACCTGTATCCAGCAGGCCGATCTGGTCGCCGAGACGGCACCGTATACAGCTGAAGGGCCGACAAATAAGGCACATAATACTGTACCACGCTCTCGTCACCATTCAACGTCAAAGGCACACCAGCCCCATACGCGCTCCATTCATCGAAAGAATCCCATAAATCTCCCAGGTTGAAGTAAGGTGTCTCTTCGGGATTGAACCACCGATTTGAAGGATCCCTGAGTCGAGACTGCAGATCGCCAATTAAAATGTCTGAGGATTAATGCAAGTTCATCGGACAGGAGATCATCCACTCTGGTGTTAACTCTGGTGTTATTGACGCGGAATAGTCAGAAAACCGCTCAACACATACCGATTCAAAACCAGGTTTCCAACGCCTCGGCAATTCGTGACAAATAATAAGCCAATGCATAAAGTAGATGGTCAAACTACAGGAGACAAAAGCTTTAGGAGGACTTGGAGCTAAACCAAAATTACTGTCTCCGAAGTGCCAATGTGTCCACAATTGCCTAACGAAGTGAAAGTCCCAGACATCAGGTTACAAGGCAGCCAAAAGACGCGGCATAGTCGGGGACAAGGTGCCATTGACTGTACACACAGGCGTGTTTAGGATTATGAATCAGACGTAGTTAATCAAATCCAATCAACTTACTTGCACTATGAGGCGCAAAAATTACACCATAAACGAATGTTCATCATTGTCCCCGCTGAATAATTACGATCCAAGGCTTCAGGTATGATCAACCAGGCGAGAATTACAGTTGTCCTGTAAGTGAACTGCAATAGTCACACGAAAGCGTCGAAATAGAAATGAATACCTTGGGAAGAGTTAGAACCTTCACACAAGGAGTTGTCTCCTCGAGGAAGCGGTCTAGATTCGATAGGGGGAAGGAACGGCCAGAGGAACAGGCCACAGACGGTACATTGATTCTACCAGTCACGTCAGGCGTCCCTCCTACTCCATGGTTTGAACATTTTGCGGCTCTCTGGCCATTCCGCTTCCCTGAATCTCCTCCAGAATAGTGCTTCGTCTGGTGTTGCCGTGGATGCGAACCATGTTGAAGAGTGCCTCGCGGTTGGGCTTGCCAGCGAGGTTTCTCCCCATGGTATTCGTCATTTGTCAAACTCTCACAACTAGTGCCCCTTGGCAAGGCTGAACCAACCATGGATTCCCCCTGCTCTCTTCAGTCTACTTTTTGACAAGTTTTATCGAACTTCGGATGCTCACGTAGACCAAACCAGGGCAGATGCAACTATATGCGCTACGTTCCGTCTCCAGCTCCAATAAATTAATTGCATCCCCGTCTTCAAAATTCTGAAAATCAAATCAGCCTCGTGCAATGTAAGCCTAACACAGTGTTCCGGCATTCGCATCTTCTACAACCAGAAAAGGCGACACCGCTCCATACCCCGATGCTCTAGACAGAGAAAAACCGCTCTAAACAATGGTGCTTCTGCAGAGCAGCACACTTCCCCCAACTTAACACAAGACTAATGCGCAACTAGTATTGCTTACAAAGCTCTTCGAAACAGAAAGATTTGCTTCTGGGAAACAAACTCCCTTAGTCTAACATTCTGCAAGGGAATTAATCTGATTCCTTAGAATAAATCCGGTCATCTCCAGAGCTACGGGGAACTAAAAAGCCGCAAGAACTCGATTCACCTAATCGATTGTGTAGAAACCAACAATCTATCTTCCAATGAGGGATTAAATCCAGACTCAGCAACAGCTGCAGCATAAGCGTAATCACGAATCGGCTCAAAATTTATTCCAAAACCGAAGCCGAACTACAATGCAAGCCGCGGCCAAGAAGAACACGCGCAACTTGCTCTCCTCCGCAACTTTTTCCCAAGCCAGCACTTCCTCTACGACCACCTCGGACAATCAATTAATCAACTCCTAAACTCCACGTGAGGAACTTCCAACATTCATCAACTCCTCCAGCCAACACTCCCTGCTGGTCTATCATTCAATCAATCAACCAGGACACCTAAAACCTCCTTCACAAGCAGCCAACACACAAGTCCAACCTCCTTCTCCTTCCTACAACAGAACCTTCCTCTGCACCAAACCACTCGGGTCTTCCACAAAACTACTGAATGCAGCCAACGCAAAGGTCTAAAAGGGTCGCGAGAAGCAATGGTTTCCCCTGGGAATGGCAGAATTCGCCAACATTAGCAAGGGGTAAAAAAAGAAAGCAGCTTCAAGACGCCGATCCCGGACGATGGCGAAGGGCGAAAGAACAATCTCGTGATGGACACGAACAGTGACAGCAGTGGAGGCTAAGCCCCTCGAAGCAGCAGCTGCTCCACGGCCGTACGTCGCGAACTTCGTTGGTTTTAATTTGCTTTCTCGCATCGGTCGTCCACCGCAACCTTTCTCCTGCCCTATGGCCGAGGGTTTCATCCCCTATTTATGGATGACGTTCGTTCTTTCCATTGACGAATGCGAACATTCGTATCTGACTGACAGGTGGATGGATGGATGCTCCTGATGCACAAGCACACGCGAGGCCCAGATTCGTGGCTGGCTAACGTCCCGGCCCAGCCTGGAATGGAACGGGTTACTTCAGCATAACCCATCCTTGGGTTATCGTCATGTCTATCCATGCTTGCTTCGACGTCATTCATTAAATACTCTGCATCATCCTCAATTTCGCACCACAAACTCTGCTGTCCCCATTAATAGGTTCCCTTGCTGTTTGTTCTATCTTATGGATAATAATTTGGAATCCTGCGGACAAATTATCCAACTTTTGGGTTATGTGCACACTTCGTGGTTAAGTCAGTGCATTACTAATTTTGCTTGCACTTGAGCTACAATCTTTGTTTGAACTAGGTTTCGTTTTTTTTATTCGTTTTTTTTTTTTTTTTTGTGGGCAATTGAGGCCATGAGATACTTTAGGGCAAACCTCAAACAGTGTGTTTGTGGGTCAGAGGTGTTGTGATTTTGGTTGCTTGTGCTGCATGTCACAACTTGACAACATTGATCCTTCTGCATTAATTTTCTAGTTTTGAAATGCAACCATGGCTCTTAAACTTCATTGTCTGATGATTGCACAATTGAGCTCCTTCTAGGGTAAAATATCAGCTACCCCATTATCACAGTTTTATTTAGAGTACACTTAATTGTCAACGATGGTAGATATTTGCATTCAAAGTAATAAGAAACTAATGACATGAATTGATCAATCTCTTTCCTAAAATAATTGAGCACTGCAAGTATGTTTTTAACCAGTTCATTCTATTCTGATGCTCATTCACAGACAACCTCCCTTGCATACTGTAGATATTAGTTTTTCTTTTTTCTTTTTTTTTTTTTTTTTTTTTTCCTGGATGCACAGTATCCAATAAATTACAAGTATGGTCTGAACCCAATCTCTCTGTCTTTTCTTTTGTCCTATCATTCCCATTAGCACAGAAAACCCTAATTTGCTGCAGCAGAAGTCATCATCTACACTCCTTTGCAGTTGATGCTCCTCATAACACATATTTTCTCACCATTGATGAAAATACTCTACAGAGGCCCAAATGACATGCTCCTCCCTGCTGACCAGAGCTCAATGAAGCAAAGTCAAGCATCCAACAACCCTGCCCACCAACCATCCAAAGCTGCACATTACTGCATCTAGAAAAACTTGCTCACAGATTTTTATTTGCTGTAGAATGTGTGTCCACAATTTGTGTTGTGGCAATGGCTTCAAAGCAATAGGTCATGGCCACTGCATTAAAAGTTAAATAAATAAATAAATAATAAAACAATGCACTGTTCAAACATCACAGGCATGATAATGGTATATCCATCAACAAACCACATGCTTGGTTCAAAGGATACTGTGCACCAAAACTCAACAGAAGCACACAACTTGGTGTTGCCACTGTTAACCCTAAAGCCACTTCTTCAATGTAATTACACTGTAAATTCCACTGCATTGCCTTCTCGTCATTGATGACATCACACAGAGTGAAAACAAGTATTGTATATATAACTGGTCAGGCAGGGGAAGAGATCTGAGCAAATTTGGCCCCATGAGCTTATTTCTCATTATGTCCTTGTCTTCACCTTCCTGCCACTATCATTACACCATCCAGGATGGAGTGTGAAATACAATGCATGGATAAGAGTTGGAGCCCATATCCCTTGTTTATGGTCATCAGAGTCAAATTGTGAACAGCCCAGGCAACACTTGGCAACACAATGCTGTGGTAGGATTTGCACCTTTCTGGATTTGGTCTTTTCTACATGCAAGCCCTGGAACAAAAATAGACATTTTCTTTTAAGTTATAGATAATGATCAAGAGCACCTGTGTGCATTATCAGTAGCCTGTGTTTAGAACCTTGTTCCTTTGACTGATCTGGAGACTTGCCCATCTAATTTGGGCTACCTCATGTGGCCGGTCTTTTTTTGGTGGGTGAAGTGGAAATGCTGTCATTCATTCTCTGGCACTGCAAAATCATCAGCATGCATTTTGAATCATGTATGCATAATAGTGTAGCCAGTTGCAACAGAATTTAGGTCAAAGGAAAGGCATAGAGAGTATAGAAATGTGTAATTCAAGCCAGGCTACACCACACCACCAGGATTATGTAATTACACACATGTGTCTGCTGATTTGTTTAAATATGTAAGTTAGGCCCCAATTGGTATACTCTTATGCTTGTTCTCTTTCAGTATATTGTTTTGATTACATGTGTATTTTAAATATCTCAATTATAAGAATCACACACAAACACATAATACATATATATATATATATATATATATATATATATGTATATATATATATTTGGCAATTCATCAATACAAACCATTGATTAGCTAATCTTCTCATACTAATGAGTTTTTGATAACATCTTCACCATATTTTTTTAAAGTTTGAATGACTTCCTAAAAGGTAGGTAGAGAGGATTTAGATTGGATGGAAACATGAGTCAGCTGACAAACTGTTAATGCTAAATAACAGTTTTCCTCCATCACTGGATCTGATATATGACAATAGAAGACTGGATTTATCATCTTAGGGATGAAAAAATACAGAAAATAAAACATGGCAAAATGGGAACAGCCATTCAGAAAATGTTGATGCATTAAGATACCTCCATTCCCTGACCACCCACTTGCTCAGAACCCACACATGCGATGACTTCAAAACCAGTTACTTCTTTTTGAACATGACCAGGAGAATACATTCATAGAGGTACCAAGTATTGAATGTTCTAATGCTTCATTATGCTTATTTAAATCTAGACAATTCACCTTGTTGCAAAGATACATGATTTAGAAGCATAGCTCCAAAGGAAGTCATGGTATCCTCTTGTTGATATGACATAGAAGACTTGCTGGATTATCAATAAATTAGCATATTAATTGTCATATGTGTTCTTCACAAGTTATGATATCAATGAGGCATATCTTATAGATGGCAAGAAATGTGGTTTGCCAAATTATCAGTACCTTCTCTACATCTAGTACCATCTCATAAAGTTGTCTTTTTGCTTAGTTGTATGCATCTGTTTTAATCATTTTTCCTGCATAATGCGACAATGCAAAGTGAAGCCTGACCAAATGAGTTGGTGTGTTTGTTTTGTTGCCACAGACTTTTCTATCAAATAGAAGTGAATTCTTTTGTGTCCATAACAACACACTAATTTTTAATAACCATTCATCACAGACTATTTGTTGTCTTCAAAATGTTTTCCAAGATCTCCAACCTTGTCAACTTGTCACCATTTTATTAAGCAAGAGTGGGGCTCAATACCATATTTGACATGCTTGCACACATTTATCAAAACTAATGCAACACAAAATATGAACTGTAAGAACTTGGAATGCAACATAAAGGTATATTCAGAGCCGAAATACACTTACACTAATGGAACCAATTCAATTATGATTTCACACCATGAAGGTGGACAAACGAGACACTTCCCTGTTTCCATTAGTGCATGTTCATCCAAACACTTACATACACACACACATATATATATATATATATATACATATACATTCCTTTGAGGTGGATTTCTGTAACAAAACATGAGGTCAGCTACTCCAAAGATGACATAAAGTATGAGCTTATGAATGGACAGGCTCAGTCATCAGGGAACATGCTAAGAGGACGATGTTCTCACTTTGGGGTACTTCACAAACAAATGGTGATGCCACAATCAGTGCAACAAATGGGCCATTCTAACACATCTCAGTTCCCAATTGGCAGTGCAATTTGTGTATTATATGTATTGAGTGGCACAGCAGCAGCAGAAGGCACTGGACTGGGTCCACATGTTAAGGGCTCACAGCTACATCACTGTTCTCAGGAACACAACCCACCCAGCCATGTGGTGGTTGGTTGCCATGTCAGCAGGACCCTTTGTCCACATCATCTGATTTGTTAAGTCAGCTCCAATGGATTTGGGGTGGGAGGGGCTTCATGGCATCTTGGCTGTGTTTTTTTTGTCCGTAGCTGACTATTGTCCTCCTGGTGGCCACATCTCTGATTATGATTGTGGTATGTTGCCATAGCAATATATGGCTACTGTGAGAATTATTATTCCTTTTGTTTTTTGTTTTTTTATTTGTTAATTTTTTTGAATGGATACATTTTTTATTCTAAAATAAATACATTGCATTTAAATTTTTATACCACTTCAAATTTCAATCCTTTGCTTTAATTTTATAGACCATTGAAAAAGAAAGCCCTAATTATTTATTTACTTTATTGTGTATTTTCAAATTTCATTTTTTTCTTTTATGGTGATATTGGGAGGAAGGCTTGACCACCCACACTGGATTTGCTACCTGGATGGATTGCTAAAGGATATCTGTCTGAGCATCAAAAAATAGACTGTACTTTATCCTTGCCTAAAGTGATGAAAGATACTAAAAAAGAAACAAAAAAGAAAAAAAAAATGAAACAAAAACAAAAACTTTTACTAAAGTTTTGGATTCTTTCCAGTTGGCTTTTTATCTTTGTGATGTCAACATGTTTCATGGCTTGAATGATTACATTCCTTAGTTGGAGCCTTTTTTTCATGTCAGATGTTTCTTCATAGAAACTGTGAGCCTCTCCTGGTGGAACTGTAAACTTGTTTCCATAGTTTAATGTAAAAACAGGGTTTAGTAGCTATCAATTAACTCACTCATGCATGTGTCTAGTTTTATGGTTACTATTATCACAAACAATGGCACATGCCAGCACAAGGAAACCTTTGTATTTCATAACTATGTAATTTGGGTTTTCTGAATTCTCCACAACAGTGCCATACATGTGGAGGACCAGATTGTTTCTATATATTAA